AAGATAACCAAAAATGCCTTCGAAGGTGTCAATCTTCGGAATACTGTATAGAAGGGTAAGGATAAAATCCTGGAAAACACCATTATACTATAGAATCTCTAATGGGATGTAAGGGGAATATACAGCCAAAATGTGTTCAAAAATAATGAAGTTAGTCTCGAAAAGTGAAAACGCATTTTAATGGTATATTAATATCACAAAAAAAGAGTCTTATTAGATGTAATTTACTCACCATAATTGCATGAACTGCACTTCCTGGCCCGGTAGCCAGAGGTGAGCAAGAAAGAAACTGGAACATCATGCGAATGTAGGCGTGCCGAGCATCGTCCGGCAGACTGTTGATAAGATCTAAGCAAGTGGTCCGCCAAACCTCGTCAGTGCCATGCCGCACCGGAGATCCAGACCTGTTTGGAGCGGGCGTATTGATTTTGGCTCTCTGGGAGGAGGCAGTAGATGTAAATCCTGGTGCATTGGCAGCTGGGCAAAGCTCACTCATAACAGTACCAGTTGCTGGAAGATCATATAAAGTTGAGCTCGTGTGACTGACAGGGCCAACGGTAACCTGACTTGTGGAAGGTGGACTGATTTCCGAAAGGGTAGAAGAGGACTGCGTGGGCAGATTAGAAGCATGGGTAGCCGGAGAAGCCGATAGAGAGGAAGCGAATCCAGCAAGAGCCAAACTGATCAACTGGTAGTCGATGCTTGAGGAAATGGGTGGCTGGCCAAGGCGAGTTGTATCCGCAGAGGATAAGGCTTCGCCGGACGACAGGTTCGTCATTTGTATTGCTAATAAGTGAATAAGAGACAAAAGATACGACAACTGTTTAGCACACGTTTGGTGAAAGGATCGGCTTCACTTGTCTCTTTGACGAGTTGTAGTGTGGTGCTAAGAATAGCAAGACTCACTGACGATGCTGGCGAAACGTCTGGGAAAGTACCACGTCCACGGTCCGACTTTGGAAATTATCATGTATACAATGGACTGCGGACTTGGTTTTATCCTCTAAGTCTTCTTACCAATATTATTAAGTTGCGAAAACAAGGTTAAACAACTTCTATACTACCCTTATTGTTTACAATTAAACTAAGGAGAATTCCCTCCTTATGAAGCCATGCGAAGTCCATAAGACGAGGGTGGCTTAGCCTTTCTTTAAAGAGGTGAATTAATTTTCCACTTCTCCATTTCCCCTACTACTTATTCATACCTTCAAAGCATCCCTAAGGCTAGTTGTAAGTCCATCTGTATGATCTTTAATTAAGGGCTTATACATCTAAATGCACAAGAATCTTGTTTAAATAAATTAACGTATACATGACTAACACTAATTCACCTGTCAACTGTCATAACAATTAAATTAATACGACATACATATTTAGATACCCTACTCATAAAAGATGTATTTGAAGTACCTAGCTGTTTAAAGTGATGAATTACCTCCAGTTCTATAATATTCTTGACTTGATCAGGTAATCTATCTGATAATCAAATTAGCTTCAAGAGAATGGTTCACTTCAATAGGTAATCCGAGATTTAATCCTCTTCCTAATGGAAGTTTCACACCATCCTCCGGCTACGTACTGGATAAATGCAAAATGTGTTGAAACTACCCTTGTTCATCTTTACCTTACATACAAGGTCCCTCCAAAGGAATCATAATTTACACATTTTTAGATTATTATCATGAATTCTCCCAGTCACCTCATAGATTGCTTCACCTAAATCGTCAGACATGTTTTGCAACTCGAAGTAGGCTTCCTCACTCAGAAGCTGAGAAATGGCTTATCTTAGTCGGGTTTTGTGCTAATCAAATCAAGTAATTTGCTAGTGCTTTCCTTAAGCCTAGTTTTAACCTAACCACTTTATACATAAGCTAGCTCCCTATTAGTAACGCCTGCTAAGAAGCAACATTTACGAACTACATTATTAGAAATACGCATTTAAAAAATCTAAGTCAGGATACAGTTTTCCTGGTTGTAAGATAGCGAGAAAGATGACTGGAAATTGAACCATACGTACATTGAAGATATAAAGACCAAGATGTTATATGATCGCATTCTCCTTTCGATTTAATGACCTCGTCGCAACTTGGTCTTGTTGTCAGGGCGACTTAGTAGAACGCACCTAGTCCGAAGTCGTCTGCTAAAGTAGTTGTCATGATTTCCAGCATCGGACAGTGGACTTGGTACATTCTCAAACGTTTCGTCGGCATCGTAGTCGGCATCATCAATGAGTTTTGTCATTCTCCGCACCAAGCTACGAACTCGCCAAATGATAAGTGAAGTCAATCCCTCGACAAACGTTCGGCCGAAAACGGTTACACTATCACTCCTCTTCCTGTGCTGGCCTTTCTATCTACTCTTTGCCCTCCTATCCAACTCCCGCCCTATCACAACTTCTGACTTATTTGCATTTCACTCGCATTTCACAGTATACGTGCTTCTAGGGCCTTGAGAAATGCCTGGAGTGAAATGCACACAGGGACTGGAACCGAGTAAAATCGGTCAACCAGAAAGATAAGGAACGGATCCACAAGACAATTAAGGGATCCGGATTGGAGGCCCGATTCGGATAATCTGATCGAAAGAGAGGTGTCTGGGTAAAAAGCAAGTGTGACGATGCCACATTAGATTTGCCACAAAAGGGTACACATTTTGACGAATGGAATGTAACCAAGTCAGAAGTTGTGATATGGCGGCAGTGGGATAAGAGGGTAAAGAATAGATAGATAGGCCAGAACAGAAAGAAGTGATAGTGTAACCGTTTTCGACAGAACGTTTGCCGAGGGATTGACTTTACTTGTCTCTGTGACGAATTCGTAGCTTATGGCGGAGAATGACAAAACTTACTGATGCCGACTACTATGCCGGCGAAACGTTTGAGAATGTACCAAGTCCACTGTCTGATGCCGGGAATCATGACAACTACAATGTCAGACGACTTCGGACTAGGTTTGTTCTACTAGGTCGCTCTGACAACAAGACCAAATTCCGATAACGAGGTCAATCCACTTCCATACGTACATTGTATATACGAAGAAAAACGCGGGTTTCGATCAACAACGATTTTATCTCAGCCCACAGGCACGTTTTCTTCTTATATACAATGTGCGTATGGCCAAAATTATCGCTGCATTAAAAACAAGAAAACTACATCCTGGCCAGTCAATAGAATAATACTTTTAAGAATGTGTATTTCTCACAATGTAGTTACTTAATGTTGTTTTCCTTGTATGAGTTATGATTAACATATTTATAATCTCATCAATTCAACCAGGATTACTTAGGGACCAACGCAATCTCGGTCATGCTTTTTCCTTGAGTCATAAGCCTCGCTGCTCCGGGGCTAACATAGGCTTTTTTATAATTACTAAGAGTTGTGGCTGGTTTTGCGTATATACATTATAATACATACACACAAAGAGATATTCGAGCATGAGTGAATTAACCAAACCTTTATATATTCATATATATCTAATTTTTTACTAGTTGAGTATATATATTATAAAGGAAAAAGTCGGTCAATCTTCTTGACTAGGTGCTAACTTTAAGCTTTTGCAAGAATGAGTCCCTGTACTGACGATGTTTAATATATGATAAACGTAAGCTCAATCTGTCTTCGCTCGAAACGTTGGAAGATACCTCGTAAACTACACCAACCAGAACGTAGTACTTAAGCCAAACAGCTGCAACATAACAGAAATAATCAGTCGTCTTCGAGTGAAATTGCTCTTTGAATCTCTTTGTCATGCACATTATATGAAATGAAAGTCTTTACAACAATGCAACACTTTATGCAAGTTAAAATTCATTCCAGGGCACATGAGAAGATAATTTTATTTCACTGAAAATTTATGAAAAGCAAAATTACCATTACGATTTCGCATATTTAACTTTAAAAGCAGGTTTTCAAAAATGCTAGAACTTAAAAAAAAAACATTTTTGCAGTAACCCAATGGCACTAGTGCCAATGTCACATAGTAGTTAACATGCCGAGATTATACGCTGCACTATCATGATATGAGCACCACTGGAGGTGCTGATGAGAAACTGTAGTTAACTCTGGATGATAATACCTTTTTAGAAAGCAAGGAAGTGAAAATTAATGGAAAAGTAAGGTCTACTCATATCGGTGGGAAAATTCAACTACCACTACCCTTATTACCTTAAACGAAATTGGATGAATATATCTCATTAATTTTTTTTAAACTTAAGGCTGATAAATAAGTTTATAAAAAATATTTATTTAAAATTTTTAGATGGATTTGCGTTTTAGGATAAATAATGTTGCATTTATTGGCACCATCGCCTAGGATTGCTTTGCGTTCGAATTCAAATGGAAAATGACGTCTTACGAAATCATAAACAGCTCAACTATCAGGTTAGTCAATATTAAAGCGAACTACGCCGATTATTGGTATGAAAAGATCTGGAGCTCATACAAAGTGCCCATATGAATCCGCACAATATAGAGGCATGATTAATAGCTAATAGTCGACATTCATCTGCAAACGTAAGGGTTTCCGTATAACTACAAGGATTCAGGGTTATGCAATCAACAAATAGGAAATAGGACTTATAAGGAAGATAGGATGATTCCAATGTTATGAATTAATATAAGACAAATCAAAGCGAAATAGGATAATGGTGTTATCTATACAGGGCCGAAAAATTTAATTGAAAGTATGAAGACCAAGATGTGGTCGGAATCGTAGTCTGCATCGTCAGTGAGTCTCGCCATTCGTAGCACCATATTACAACTCGCTAAATGAACAAGTGAAGCCCATCCTTTGACCAAACGTGTGCTAAACATTTATGGTATCTTACCTTCTGCCTTGATCTATTCATTTGACGAGTTGTAATATGGTGCTACGAACGGCGAGACTCACTGACAATATTGACTACGATGCCGGCGAAACGTTTGGGA